ATACATATATATATATATATATATATATATACATATATATATATATATACATATATATATATATATATATACATATATATATATATACATATATACATATATATATATATATGTATATATATATATGTGTATATATACATATATATATGTATATATATATATATATATATATATATACATATATACATATATATATATATTACATATTGTTTTTGCTGATAAATTTTTTTTTTTTACAGTTTTGTTAATTTAAAAAGTTTTTTTTATCTCTAAGTCCTTAAGTTAAGTTTTGTTTTAAGTGACAATTAAAATACATTTATTATTGTGCTAAATTGGTCAAAAGTGTCCGTAAAGACTGAAATATAACAAAAAACCATTTGACGATGAACACTGCAGTCATTTTTGTTTTAAATGTTTCAAAATATGAAACATTTAAAGCAAAATTTATTTAAATTACTTTTAAATGGAATTTTGTGGCCCAGTTTATGCATATTCATTCTTCTAATTGTCTCTAAGTGTATTTAATTATTTTTTTTACCTGTAAAGTCAGGTTTTTACACTTTCCCCCCCTCTGTTATGTAGAGTACAATGTTGTATACAAGCAGTCAAATTATGTGTGAACACACCGCTTTGTAAAAAACTTTGTTTACTTTTGTCATTTACTTATGTTATAATTGACTTTAATGGTTTTTATATGTACATGTCATTTTTCCATTAGTTATGCATTTATTATTTTAGTTTAAATTGTGAGTAATTAAGCAATTATTTATTCATATATTTTAACTTGTGAATTACAGTTTAATTATAAACCAAAACAAAAAATGTAAATTCAAGAAAGTTTTACAGTTGCATCCAAAATGATTAATTGTTCTGCCAGATGTTTTGCTGTTGTATACAATTTATTGAAAATAGTTCAAGCTAAGCATAAGTAAAATATTATAAAATTGTTATAAATATATTTTAAGGATAAAAACGGATGAAAAAAATAAACTGATATTTCTTTAAAGTTCATGTCAAAACTATTCAACACCCAAAATTAAAAACATTTGTAGGAAATCTTTTATTCTCACTTACTTTCCGTTGGCTTATTTTAATCAGGTGTTGCCACAGCTAAATGAACCACCAATGTAACCACCTGGCACATGGCCAAAAACATCCACTTTTTTCCCTCTGTTTTGTACAATGTTGTATACAAGCAGCCAAATTATGTGTGAACATACCCCTTTGTTAAAAAAAATCTTTATTATTATTGTTTTGAATTAACGTTATTAAATCCGTTAAATTTGGTGTATGTAAGTGCTAATGAAGTTGAGATTTATTGTTCAGAAAACATTTTAAAGTTGCCTTTAGGGCTGAATAATATATAATTTGAGCATTGATATCGCAATGTGTGTATCTGCAAGTCACATTGCAGGATTAGATTATTTATCAAAGATTAAAAGAGGACGATGTTCTTAAATATAACTACATTTTTATTAATTATACCATGATTACTGTTATTTTAAATTTGATTTGTTCTATAAAATTCTTTTTTTTATTTTTATTTAATGAGGACAATACACTTGACATTATTCAAAGACAACTGATGTCGAGGACATAAGGCATATGGCATAAAGATAATTCAAAGCCCTCTTTCCTGATTAGGATTAATAAAAAAAAAATCAACAAATAAAAACAATACAACAAACATGTAAAGTTTATACACAGCCACAAACATAAAATGTAAGTCAATCTGCATACTAAAGAGAAATGCAAATTCTGTACTGGAATACTGTTAAGACTCTCCAGAAAACCATAAAGCGCTCATTTATTTATTTTTGCGTGTAATTTATTGTGTAAATTTACAAAAAAAAAATTCTTGATCATCCCAGTTGATCTAAATTAACAAATTCTTTCCAAACAGAGCTGTTCAGATCACCTGGTGAACATTGCAACATATATTGCAGCAAAACAAAATATCACAATGTCAGATTTTTCTAATATTGTGCAGCCATAATTGCCTTAATAAATGGCATATTATAGTTGAAATCTAAAGACACAAGTTCATAAAAGTGCTATAAAAGTAACACTTCCTTATGTTGTCTGAAGACCAAAAAGACCAAAATCTTAAAACTGACAAAAATGATAAAAAAAAAAAAAAAAATGTTTTTGCTTGTATTCCCTTGACTTTCATTTATTTTTAAAAGATAAGTTGTTTTTTTTTTACTGCATTAAAACATTCATTAGACTAATGGTCACCAATAGCTGCTTTTAATACTCGTCAAACCAGCAGGTGCTTATTATTATTAATATTATTATTATTCATTTTTATTTTTTATTGGGAAGAGTTTGTGTGATGACATTAAGACAATCTGCTGATTAATAGGGAAGCTTTTAATTTAGCAGTGTGTGTTTGCAGTGGTTTCATCTGCTCTTTTCTTTCAGGTTCAAAGAGATCTGAGGAACAAGAGAATATCACACCTGTGATGGAAAATTACCTGCAGCGTAACGACAAAAAGGGACCAAGGATTGATCCAACACACCAAGCCTTTTTATGCCCCAGGGTTATTTTATATGAAAATTGTAACATGACACTTTCATCCTTTTTATACTGACAATAGAACAAAGCTGTGCACCAGGCGACACACACACACACACACACACACACACACACACACAGCGCAGCACGATCACTGAGCGCCTTTATTTTCATACAGGATGTTTCTAATGGCTGCATCTTAATACAAATATACCTTTTTTCTGGTATTAAAATATGCCATCAGTGCTTTGTCCTTTCATCAGTGCTGTCTGAGTGATCTTTCATAACCTTACACATCAATTCACGCAATTACAAGTACTTTTTTTTTTCTATATGGAGATTATTTATAAACCAATTTCGAGAGTATCACGTGCGTATGATTGATCATAGCTGGTCCCGCATAAGCTAACGTATGATTCACCAATCGGATGATTCCTAACTCACTATAAATACACTTACCTCAATATCTTCATCTTGATCCCCCCCTTCCACCCTTACTCTTCCTACCTTTTTTCTTAAAAGGGTGGCATGGCACCCCAGTGGTTAGCACTGTTGCCTCACAGCAAGAATGTCACTGGTTCAAGTCTCTAACAGGCCAGTCAACGTTTCTGTGTAGAGTTTGCATGTTCTCCCGTGCTTGTTTTTTTTTTCCTCCAGATTCTCTGGTTTTCTCCCATAGTTCAAAGACGTGACAGAGGTTGATCAAACCAAGTTGGCACCATACAAGCTCCTAACCAGCAGTAAATCTCTCCCTAATTTGTCATTAGCCATCAATAAGCTGAGTAGTTCATTGAAATCTACCTGAGCTCAAACTCTTCTCTTGCCCTGCAAATGGGAGGGAGCCCCGGGCATGAGGATCTTATGTGCTCAGTGCTCTCTCCCAGGACGGCATGCCAAACATTCTTTACAATCAATCATTAGCTAAGTGTGAACTCTTGAAGCAATTATTACTTAAGTCCAGGTTGAATGAGCATTTCAGTTGATATTGATGTCATCTTCATTTAGTCACTCTCAGCCTTATCAAAATACCAGGTAACTGCGAGCATTTTATTCTGAGGCTTTACTGTTAGATGCTTTCTAGCCTGAGGGTGCTGATAATATCAAAATGCGTGTGAAAGGCAAACACTCAGTTCTGCAGAACAATGTTATAATTGACCTCAGTGATTCTTATATGTACAGGTTCGTTTGCCATTAGTCATGTATTTATTTTTTTAAAGTTTGCTGTGAGTAATTAAGCATTTTTTTTACTTGTCAATGACAGTATAATTCAGAACAAAAATAATCATTTAATAGCAAAAAAAAAAAAAAAAAAATATATATATATATATATATATATATATATATATATATATATATATATATATATATATATATATATATATATATATATATATATATATATATATATATATATATATA